CATCTTAGTGGGTAGTCAAAACGATAGCCTTCATGCTTTACGGTCTCTGTCTCAAACTTTTGACCGACATTCGTAAAAAGTTCATCTAATGGTTTAGTTGTAGCAACTCTTGAATTTTCTTTTTCTATTGAAAGCATATTTTATCTAGAATAAAAATGTCGAAAGAAACAGCGTCTATGAGAGAAATAAAACACAACCGACAACTCATTATACAAGCTCTAAATAAGAACACAACAAACTTTTCAAACTATTCTAAGATATCTGAGTCATTGAAAGAAGGAAGCTTAAAACTGACATTAAACCCAATGACAGATGAGTTTCTGTTTCAAGACAACAAGAACCATACTGTTTGTATAAATCCAACAAAACGAACTTTAAACGAGAAACCTATAGATGAACTTCTTTTGAAAGCAGATGTTGACAACAAAGCTGATAAAGAGTATGTAGACGATGCAATAGCAAAAGAACATGACAGAGCAGATGCAACATATGCAACGAAAGAGGATGTTGAAAAGAAAGCTGACAAAGAGTATGTAGACGATGAGTTAGCATGTGTGACTAGTGCGTTAGTGAAGAAGGCATATAAGGAATATGTGGATGAAAAAGACAATGAAATTAAAGAAAGGGTTGACTGGTACCATGAACGGACGTCAAAGATTTTAGAAGGTAAAGCCAATACAGGGTGGGTTTCAGGATGTTTAGACCTTAAAGCGGATAAGAACCATACACATACCATTGCAAATATTACAAACTTACAAGAAACCTTAAACAGTAAAAGTGACGTTGGACATACACATACCATTGCAAATATTACAAACTTACAAGAAACCTTAAACAGTAAAAGTGACGTTGGACATACACATAACTTCTTCTCAAATGTTGGTATAGAAAGTATTTTAGGAACGATTGAAGAAACTGGTGGGGGTGGATTATATTTTAAACCTCCTAACTTTCCAGAAGGTTTAACATCGGATAAAGACATTAGATGTAGAAATGTCTATGTCATGGAGGATGAAAAAAAAGTTAAATTCACTGCTCAAGATTTATATGATAAGAAAGCTGACAAAACAGAGCTTCAAACGTTAAAGACAGAAATACTTCAAACACTATATCCTATAGGTTCTATTTACACGTCAATGAACTCTACCAGACCAGAAGTAGTACTTGGTTTTGGAACTTGGACTCAAATAGTCGACAGGTTTTTGTATTGTGCAAACTCTTCAAAGGAAACAGGTGGAAGTAAAACGATTTCAGGTGCAAATTTACCTGCGCACAGTCACTACATAGATTTAAGTACATCTGAAGCAGGTTTGCATAGTCATAGATTTTGGGATTGGTCAGGAATGACAAAAGGTAAAGGATATGATGTTAAAGAGACGTTAAGTTTGCTATAAATTGTTACTGGAGTAACACTGAGGGAGGAAACCATTCACATCGCGTTTCAGGGTATACGCAAACAACGGGACAAAGTAAAGACTACATGCCACCTTACATGACAGTTTACGCATGGTATAGAATTGGTTAGTCGTCATTTTCAACTTCTTTAGCATATTCGTCAGGAGTTGTCTTATATTTGTTAGGAACTGTCTTTGAAAGTATACCACCTTGAACTTTAACAAGTTTGAAACGAGGTCTGACAATAGTAGTTTTATCTTCTGCTTGCAGTCTGTACATTTTGCCATGTTTGCCTAAAACTTCATAATATTCTCTTGTATACTTTCTTCTATTTTTACGAACACGAAGGTGAGTACCTGTCGAGTTCCCATTGTTGTCATAGTCAATAGTATTTTCATATGGGTCGCGTTTAGGTATTTCTATTTTTACTTTGTCACCTTTCTTAAGTTTGAAGCCTGGCATTCTTTCTTGTTTGTCTCTTTTGACTAAACTATTAAATATATAGTCTTTCTCTAAGTCGGGTTGTTTTTCATTTCTTCGGGGGAGTGGTTTCCCAAACCTTTTTGTTTACGGTATTGTAAATATTTAAAACTTGTCTCATCTTTGCCATGGAGAAATGTCTATATTTGTCGTCATATGACATTTCATTTGCTTCACCACCTTGTGGTTGGTTTAAGTCTCTTAAGATTTTTATACAACTGTCAATGACACCAAGAGCAGAATGGTTTTGGTCGACAATGAAATATTGGTTTACATTTTTTGAACGCAGATAGTTTTTAATATCGTCTGATTTGAAAGAACTTTCACAGTCAGATGTCAGTTTTGTTGGATGGTATTTGTCAACGAATATTGTCAAAGCAGTTTTCACATCTAAAATATTTTTGGACTGTAATGGTATGGCTTCACAGTATCTTGTGTTTTGACCACAAATATTAGCCAGTATGGTGGTCCATCTTCTCTATACCTCGGAATGTTTTCCAAGATATCCATAAACCAAGCATTTGGTGTTGAACTAAAGATTTTTATCATGAGTGCTTTCTTTGTTGCTTTAGAAACATAGGGGTCCTTGTTTGGATTCGTCATTTTTTAACCCATAAGAAATGGGTTTATTTGGCGCATTAGCAGGAGTTGCATCCAGATTTTTGCCCGCAGTGGGAACAATAGCCAGAGGTGTATTTGGAGTTGGAAGGAAGATTTTGAGTACATTAGGTATACTTAAAGAGAAAGCACAACCTATTATACAAACTGTACAGAAAGGTTGGGATGTAGCACGAGATGCAGCAAATCTTATTCCAAATCCTGAAACAAGAGGAAAAGTTCAAGGATGGATGGACAATGTAGGAAGACAAGCAGGAAACTACTATAACAAAGCAAATGACTACTATAACCAAGCAGGGCACTATATGGACCAAGGTGAAAGATTCTTTAACAGAGGATATAACCATGCACAACAGTGGGTAAACAACAACCAACCGCAACCGCCTCAAACGTGGGGAATGTAAATTTTTTACTGAGATGAAATGAACAATACAGCATTGAGACAAATGGGTCAAGATGGATTTGTCGGCTTCCAGCAGTTACACAACGTGTTTGTCAAGTTCTTCCTATACCTCAGGAAGTTTTAGACCGACTTAAAAAACAAAACAACCAGTTGAAAACAAACCAAACTAAAATTTTTTACTGAGATGAAATGACCGAAGAAGTTGAAACGGTAGATTTGACACCACAAACAAAAAGTTCAGAACCATTGTCAAAACCTGTCAAAGAACTTACAGATGAAGAGAAAAATTCAATAATAGAAAGTGCCAGGTCTGGAAATACAAACCCTAACTACAAAGTCACTTTTCATAGAAATGGAACGGCTAGTATCTCAAAAAAGAAACAGACTCTCACAAATAAAATATTGAAGTCTGAAGGAGCTTTCGAGACAACAGATGGAAAAGTTTACTTCACTGACCAACAGTTCATTATAGAACATCTCATTGACTTAGAGTCGAAATATTCTAAACTTTACAACAAACACAAAAAGTTGAAAGGAAAACAAAAACAAATGGCATATGATATTTATGAAGATGTTGACGACACAACTGTTCCTGCAGGTGAGGTAAAGTCAGAGGAACCGAAAAGTGACGAAAAACCGATAGAAGAAGAAAAACCAAAAACTGAAGATAAACCAAAACCAAAGTTTAGTTTCCAAACTAAACCAAGTCAACCTTCATTAGCTGGTATGGGTTGGCGTCAAAGACTTATGGCAGCAGGCGGTTATGTAAAGTAAAGAAAAAAAAATTTTTTTATTTTTATAAAAATGCCCCCATATAGAATGGATAGAAAATCTGCTAGAATAAAAGCAGAGTTGCAAAGATATGGTTGGAGAGTTTCGAAGAATTTTAAATATAGGAAGGGAAGACCCATAAAAGTCTATGACAAACTGGCTGGTCTTCGCTACGAAATGGACCTAGAAACAGCACGTGCAAATTATCCAAACAGACTAGAGAGGTTAGAAGAAGAACGTCTTATGAACATGCCTTTCGATGTTAGTGAACCTCAAGTTGAAGGACACGACGGCTTTGCCAGATTCTACTGGAAACATGACGAACAATTGCATCCTTTGAGAAGGAAAAAAGGAAAAGGTGAAGATGCACATGCTCCCATGGAAAGAACAAGATATGCATATGAAAAGTACCGTGAAGTTAGAAGTCAAATTACATCTGGTCGAACCTTTACAGTAAACTTTGACGAAGGAAAGAACAAAGAAGGCTTCATGGGAGTACTTGCTGCCATACAAGACGGAAATAAGAAAGGATACAATCTCAGACTAACCGTAACAGATTTAGATGGTCACATTTACTATGCGCATGGCAATGAACAAACAGCCGCACAACTTCTTGACGCTTTCAAGACTACAAAGAGAGAACAAATGGTTGACTCCGACTCAGACATTTTGAATGCGATTGAAGGATTGCAAGCGTGAAGTTCGAATGGTACCAACCCAACCCTCAAGCAGTCAGACAACATGCTGGATATTCCCGTTCATAAACAAGTCTGACATTAACTTAACCAGGTATGGAATTTACAATTCAATTGAAACAATTGTCAATGAACCTTGTATTCTTACATGTCTCAGGAACTCTGGTCTTGTTTCAGAAGAGAAAATGAAGTATCTTGAGTCATGTGTGAAGACAAGGTACATGCTCAGAGGTCAATTGGCTAAAATTGCACCGTTGGCAAATGTGAATATCCGAGTCAACATTCCGACTGAGAAAGGTTCTTCACATGACGACTATGTTGTTGACAAAGACTTACCATGGTTGAAGATTGTAATTGTCCACAACCACTTCATGTTGAACGAAAGTCTTACAAACCCATTGTTCGGAAAAGGCAAGTGCAACATTGTCAGAGCTGTTAACATTCTTTTCGAGAAAGGTTTGTTGGAACCAATTCCAGATGACAAGCTGACAGAAAGTTTTGTACCAAAAGACGAAACAAACTTTTCACTGTTAGCAAGACCAAAAGTTGTTCCAGACAAAGTTCTAGTACAAAAGAAGTACACAGTTCCAAAAGGAGTTGGATTGTTCGGATACCAACCTGAACCAGAAGAACTTCCAATGAGGTTGCAAGAACTTCAAGATGCTATAAACAAACTCCCATTGAGACATCCAATTGACGTCAAATTGTATTGGAGAGCATCTGAGTTAGGTCAGAAGGTTTTATATGAAACAGGTTGCTTCGACGATGTTTATGAGATAACAGGAGAAGTTTCTCAGAAGATAAGAGACTCGCTTGAATTTCCAAAAACTGGTCCGATTGGATGCGATAAGTTCGACTCAGATGAAAAAATATACTATGTCGACCTTAACGCCGCATACATGAGGTTCGTCCAATATATCCCGACTGGAATTCCAAACGAAGATGGTGAGTTCCCAGGAAGGAACTATACAGTTGGAAAAGTCATACAACAACTGTATGATATTAGGAAAGCTTCAAACCCCAAACTTGCAATGACATTAAAATTGCTTATGAATTCGACATGGGGGTATTCCATTAAAAAACCTCAAGAGATGAAGAGTAAACATTATGAGAAGGTCGACAACTTTGTTGAAAGGTTTTCTCCTTTTGTTTTGAAATACGAATTTACCGAAGGTGAAAGTGGCTTAGTAACCACATTAAAACCTATTGTCGAACATTGGTCTTACCCTCAGTTCGCAAAAGCAGTCCTTGACGAGTACAACAAATTCTTCTCCGAAGTCAAATCCAAAGTCAAGGTTTACTATGAGAACATCGACGCACTCATGACGAACGAAGAAGGCTATAACAAACTCATTGAAATGGGAATGGTCGGTGAAAAGATGGGTCAATTCAAATTGGACAAAATTTTCACCGAAGTTCATGTCCTCTCCAAGCGTAAGTACTGGGGTGTTAAAGAAGACGGCACAGAAATAAAACATTGCATGAAATAAAAAATTTTTATATTCCTTCCTAGCTAATTTCCGTTTAATTTCATGGTCGCCCTCGGAGTCTTTGAATCGGACAGGTCGAGTTACACCATTCTTGGTCTCAAACTCATATATAACCTGTTTGTCTGTATTTTCGTCGACTATGGCACGAGACACGAACATTGACCAAACGGACAAAAAGTGTCATTTCGGATGGTCCCGCAGCCAATCGCATTCGAGCACTTCGAAGAAGCCTTACGTTCCAAGGGAGAGGGTGTCTGGTGCAAGGCAGAGGTCATGAGACTCTACGAGCAGTACATCCTCAATGCCTGGGAGGACAAATCGTCCTTGGATTGGCAATTCTACCAACTCCTCTGGGACGACCTCCTACGCAACTGGGATGACGAAAGAGTTCAATTCAGAGGTCAGGAACTAATTTTGCAAATGACCATTAATTTAAGCCGCTTACGCAACTAAAAACTTAAATTTACTTGGGGTTTCCCCCTAAAATAAAATTTTTTTACTCTTAGAACCACTCGAGGTTCTCCTTACGGTTGTTGAGCTTGTCACCGTCAATGTGTCTGACCTTCGTCTTCTTGTTTGGATTTGGAACCCATTGCATACCGACAAGCCTTCCCATGGAAATTGTACCGTAATTTCGAAGGGTAAGGGTCAAGTGTCCCAAGTTGTTGAGGACTGGGGTAAGAACCTTGCCTGTCGCCTTGTTGCGGATTTTGTATGGGTAGGGTTGGGAAATTTCGTAAGCGTCATCGGCAACAAGGGTTGCCCAAACTTCCTCTTCTTCGTGTTTCTCTTCTTCCTCTTCTTCCTCTTCTTCCTCTTCTTTGATAATACCTTCTTCAATTTGGTACTCACGAAGTACGGTGTTGCATGTTCTGTCCTTTCCGAGTACCTTCCAGATGGCGTCTATCTCTTCGAAGAAACGGTAGATGAGTCTGGCAAGGTCTCGGTTCTCTCTCGCGTAAATGCGCAAGGTTTCCGCTAAATCGTTCAGGACTTTCTCATTGGAAGCTTGGTTCATGAGGAACTCACCTTTAAGTCCCTTCATCTCTTCCATAAGACTACTTTGGAGAGTCTTAACGGTGTTTGTCAGATGAGCTTTCAAATGCATAATTTGAATTTGAACTGGGCGCTTGTCTGGCAACCTTGAAAGGACATCTGCTATTGTGTTCGGCTTCGGTGCTTGTTCGGACATCGAAAAAATGAAGTGGTTTGAGAATGACGGTTTTACTTCAAAAAGCTTGTTATGACGGTTAAGTCATACAACAAGTTTAAAATAATATCTTGTTCTTCTTCTGAACGTTTGTTGTCTCTTCCGATAAAAGTTTCGAACATGAGAACCAAAAAACGTTTTTTGAGATTGCGGAAGAGTTCAGGCAAACGTTCATATTCTGGATATGTTGGGAGCAGTTCGAAACATCTGAGCTGACTTTCGGACAAAATTGGGACAATGTCAGAAAATTCATCTTTGGTCGGACTGCTTGAAGGTAAGTCCCTTACATGTAAGTAGCTCTGGTAAAGTCTTCTCATTTCTGCTAACTTTTGGAGTATAGCTTCGTAGTTTAGAAGTTTTAATTTTAATTGTCTTATTCCACTCTTTACTTCTAAACGGTAAGTATCCATGAGGTCAAGAGTAGCTTTGGTAGCTTTAAGTGGAGCTATCTGTTCCTTGACTTGTGCAATTTTGGTTGCAATTGTGGTTTGAGCTCCTTCAAGTTCGCCGTCTATGTCGTTCTCAACGTCTTCAAGCATGGCTTGAAACTCTTCATCGGTCCATTGAGATTGGTGTGGAACGAATTTAACTTGCTTCATTCAAAAAATGAAAAAAATGTTTTTACTCAAAGCGTGCCATGTATATGGCTATAAGAAACTTACCAGAAGGCTTCTTCTTCACATGAGACTCTGGTAACTTGAGTGTTGGTGTTGGAGTTCTTGGGGGAGGTGGCTCTGAAATTTCAAATCTCTCTCGAGCGCAACAACAGATGTCAGAATAACATTCCCCACTGTCCTTCTTGCCACCATAAACTGTGTATTGACCAAACTTGCATTTACAGGAAGACCGGTCAATACAAGGTTCACAGTTGAAATAGTTGTACACAAACCTGTTGAGTACGAGTGTGAGTAAAAACATAAAAAAAGTGAAGTGAAAATGAGATGTTTACTGAACTGGTTGGATGTCGCCTTCACAGGTTATGTAGAACGGCTGACCCGAGAAGTGAAGGAGACCCTTGAGAATTTGGTTCATTCTTGGGAAAGGGTTCTCTCTGTTTGGAAGTTGTATCCAAGGACGCTTGGCAAAGAACTTGAGAAGAGCTTCCTTCTTTGCTTGCTTTATGTCGTCGTAGGCTGTCCCGTCTGGTATTTGAATTGGAATTCCAGTCGAAGTCTCGAGATTCAAGGCAGCCCTTCCCGTTATCCAACAGTTAACAAGCTTGCCTTTTACATTCTGCCTGAGGAAGTCTTTAACAAGCTCGTTAATTTCAATTAGGTAAATTGCCTCGTCGGTAGGTTCGACCTCGACCATTGCTACTGTCAGTAAAAGTACTGCTACTGTCAGAAAAAGTACTGCTACTGTCAGTAAAAGTACTGCTACTGTCAGTAAAAGTACTGCTACTGTCAGTAAAAGTACTGCTAGTTGCAGTAAAAAGGAAAATTTGAGAGGGTTTTCGACGATAAAGTACTGCTACTGTCAGAAAAAGTACTGCTACTGTCAGTAAAAGTACTGCTACTGTCAGAAAAAGTACTGCTACTGTCAGTAAAAGTACTGCTACTGTCAGAAAAAGTACTGCTACTGTCAGTAAAAGTACTGCTACTGTCAGTAGCAGTACTGCTAGTAGCAGAGATTTTTATCGTTGTGGTCCGACGGTTAAGCCACAAACGAATGTCCGACGTCCCACCAACCGAGCCCATTCCCAAGCCAGAGGAACCTAAAGAACCACAACAGTCTCCTCAGCAACCTCAGTTCCAGCAAGTACCTCCGATTTACTACCAATTTCCACCTCAAGGTTACTACCCACCACAAGGCTTCCCGAACTACCCTCCTCAGCCTATGCCTTACTTCCCCAACCCTTGGATGTTCCAGCAAGCTCCACCCCAGCAATTCCAATCTCAATCTCAATCGAAGAGAGACCAAGACTTCGAAGAAGGTCTGAACCGTTTACGCAAAGATTATGCCACAGCCCCTATGGAAGACGACAGGCTTTCAGTCTCTTCCCTCAAATCGACCGATTCGACTCGTACCACAGATTCGGTTCGTGACCGTGAAGACTACCTCAAGCAGTCTGAGAGACTCTTCATCCTACAATCATTTACAGTTGGAGCTCTCAAGAACATGCGCAATTACGAAGGTCAGACACCAGCTGGAGACCGCAAAACAGACGTACTCGCAAGAGCAGTCCAACTGGTCAAGACAAAGACTGAGATAGTCGACTTCATTCTTGCAGCTTGCCCATACAAGTAAAAAAATAAACAATTACGAGTTAAACTTTTTATTCTTTCTTTTCTGAGTTGTTTAGAGCTGGTTTCTCTTGTAGGAGCCTTTCGTACTCTTCCATGGTCATGTAATTGCGAATTTGGTACGCAATTCCAGGTTCGTTGTTTTTGAACCTTACGTATGTAACGCTTCCATCTTCCTCAGGGAAGTAAGCTGCTAACATCTGACCAAGTTTTCTCGGTGACTCGGAGCTCATTAAAAATGTCACTTTTTAAACGTTAAGTTTTTAGTCTTATTTTACCCTTTGTTTACCCTTTGTTTACCCTTTGTTTGTCAAGGTAGTATTGGAGTGCAATTTCTCCAAATTCTCTGTGTCGGAGTTCTTCAGCATTTTCCAAGGTGTACCTGGAGAACTCAAAGAAGTTGTCAAGAAGATACTGCCATGCTGCTCTTCTGAGTTCGTCGGTATTTTGGAAGTGTTGCACCTTCGAGTCTTCGGACATGAAAAAAATGACACTTTTTCTATTAAACCGTTTTGGCATTTCTCATGAGTGAGTATAGTTCTGCCGAACCATTGGAAGAGAAGAAGTACTCTTGCTGGCAAAAGACAAAAATAGTTGCCTTAGTTGTCATTGCAATTGTACTCGTAATTGAATTCATTGTACTTCTCTTCACGTACATAAAACTCAAGGACGGCATATGCTTTAAGAAGCTACCATCTTACTAAGACTAAACACTTAGATTTTTCAAGCTTGACTTTTTACAATTTGAATTTTACACCCAAAAATATATTTTAGGGTAGAAGGTTAGATCTAACCTGTTTTCTAACCTCTTTTCTACCCTCTTGAATTTGTCATGAGTTTTATACAGAATTCGGCAAAAATATATTTTAGGGTAGAAGGTTAGATCTAACCTGTTTTCTAACCTCTTTTCTACCCTCTTGAATTTGTCATGAGTTTTCCCGAAATAAAAAATAAAGTTGGTTTTTTTAAAAAAATATTTTTTTATTTTTATTGTAAGAACATGTTAGCAACAACAGCACCAAACTCGTTAGTCATGAACCCAACTTCAATGTTAGTAGAGATGAAAAGCTTCATTCCTTCTTCATATACTTTCGAAACAGAAATCCAGAAGATAAAGCAAGAACTTCTCCAAGGAGATTTAGATTGCACTGCAAAAGATGAAACAAATGAACAGTATCTTTATGAAATGCAGGATATTATTGACCATCTACCTAAACTTCCTGAAATCCAACAACAAAAGCTTACTATTCCAGAATTCGATGAAATAGAAGTCAAAGCAACTGACTCAGTAGAAATAAAGAAGTTCATACGAAAGGTTAACTATGAGTTTCTTGGATTTCATTGCAACCACAAAGTCATGGACAAAGATTGCGATATGGTATATAAGAACATCTCTGACATATACAAATCTGGGGAGTTTAAGACCTACGACAACTTTGTTTCGTTAGTTGCTGAATGTGTATGGCAGATAAGAGATAAAGATAGAAGAGGTAAGATATGGAATGAACAGATAAAACCCGCAACTTTTGAGTTAAAGAGAGCAATTGACGCCTTAGTCATACTAGCAGGTAAGGTTTCAGAATATAACGCAAAAATGAACCCACAATGTTCTAAATGTAAAGCAGCAATGAGGAAATATAACTACTCCGTCAAAGAGATAGAACGTATGCGAAACGACTATGCTGACTTAAAGAAAGAAGCAGAAAAGCCAGCAGAAAATAAAATGGACATGTTGACATTTCTAAACAAAAACTATCCAACAGCTGACGATTTCCTTCTTTCAGATGTCAAGAAGAAATATAAAGAAACTTTCGGCATTGTGAAAACATTCGATATCCTTCGTGAAGAAATAGAAGCTACAAAACTGTTTAGAATTTCACGAATTCACAATGTTTACCATGTAAAACGCTTATAAAATAACTGGGGTAGAAAAGAGGTTAGAAAACAGGTTAGATCTAACCATCTACCCTAAAATATATTTTTATTGAATTCTGAGTAAAATTCTGAGTAAAATATATTTTAGGGCTTGTGTCAAACCGTTGAGTTTTCACAAAATTTAAAAAATAACGTTTACCATGTAAAACGCTTATAAAATAACTGGGGTAGAAAAGAGGTTAGAAAAGAGGTTAGATCTAACCATCTACCCTAAAATATATTTTTGCTGAAAAATGACCAAATTTCATGAAATTTCTCTAGACCGACTTTTACAGGGGTAGCCAAAACTCATGAAAATCGTGAAAAATAACAGAGTATTTTGACAACTTCAAACAAGTAGAGTAGATGAACTCTTTATTTTTCAAGCTTGACTTTTTACAATTTGAACTTTGTTCGCGTAGATGTGAATTCTGAAAGAAGTATGAGGGTCTTGTATGACTTTGTACTTCTCCCAGAGTTCATGTCTGTCAAACTTACCTGCCATGGACTCTTTCATAAGTTCCATGAAATCGTCTTCGGACAATCCAGGGAAAAGTATGATATCAGTAAGTATTCTTTTAACATCCTTACTTAAACTCTTTGCTGTCTGTACACAAATGACAACTGAGATGTTAAAGTGTCTGAGCTTCTTAAGAATTCGACACATGTCTTGTTCTCTGTTCTTTAACAAAGGATGAGAAGCAAAGTCATCTAAGATAAGAAGACATCTATGAGGGTAAGTCTTCCAATCGTAAGATTGCAATTTCTTCGAAATGTATTCTATCTCTTTCTGTTTGTTTCTGAAGTGTTTCTTCTCTAATATTCTCTGCATTTCCTCATTTGTCTTTAAACTTCGAGTTTATATACTCATTTATAGCATTGTACTTCAAAACTCTTCTTTGGTTACTTCTTTATCCAATCCAACAACTCAGAGTCTTTTATACATTACTAACTTAGACTTTTTTATAATATCTTTGAACGAATTGACGGTTTGGTCAAATTGACCAGAAGTACTACAAATGACAACTAACTCATAGAATGGGTTCTTCTCATCTAGTTCTTGTTGTTGTGCAGCCATTTTAAGATAAGTGAAAGTCTTACCCGACCCAGGTGGTGCGATTAGACCTGTTATACCATTCTGAGCAAATAAGAACTTGTCATGTATGGGTTTATCTGAAGCATTTTCCAACTCCCTCTTGTTCTTGTTTAAACATTTCTCAAATTTCTTGTCAATGTCAGCAAACTTTTTTTTCTAACATATTTTTAGAAAAATTAAAATTTTTATCTTTTTGAAAATGTCTAGCGATTTCGCTATCTATATTCGAGACAAGCTTTTCGACAGCAAAACATCTGTCGACCATAAAATCTTACATAGTGTAAACAAGAAAGGTGAATTTGTTCTAAAGTTCTGTTTCTGGGAATATGACAAGAACCATAAAACATTAGGCAGAGAAGTCTTTAAGTTTGTCAATGACAGACTTGTTGACAGAGATGACGCCTCTTGGAGAGATGAAGTCCAACAAAAAGTTCTTAGAATGCAAAGAAGACACATGCGCTGTTTCTTGAAGATGAAATAGAAAACAGAATAGATGAGCTATTAAAGGACAAAGAACTTTTACATAAATATAGTTGCGCCAAATTTGACATAACTCCACCAGAAGAAGAAGAAGAAGAAAGAAAAGAAAGAGAAAAAAGTAGAAGAGAAGAAAGGAAAAGAAAGTAGAAGAAGAGAAGAAAGAACCTGAACCAGTTCCAGAGAAAAAGAAATTTGACATGTAAAAATAAAATTTATTTTTAGAACATTTCTGGGTCAATGTCAATGTTCTCTTCCTCTTTAGGAGCAAACACTGGCTTAGACTCTAAAAATCTTTTTACCCAATTTACCTTGAACTTCTACAACTTTAGACTCATAATATTCATAGTCGTCTGCTTTCTTTGGTTCATAAGGTATAAACAAGTTTGTATGCTTTGCCTTCTTTAAGGTTTGAAAACCTTCTGTCAAAACTTTCTTTGACTGCTAACAAACCTTCTATGTCTAAGTCTTCAAATTTCGCACCATTTTTAGTCACAATAGCAAACTTAACTGGTTCGATGTTCCAAACTTTGCTGAATGAAGACTTTTCAAAAATGGTAGAAGTAAACATTCAAATAAGCGAATGGGTCTAGTTCTTCTTTGACTTCTGTCATGTACTTGTTGACTGAAATATATTTCGTCATCTTTTCTATCGGATAAAAAAATATTTTTTTTTAAAATTTACTCAGAAAAATTTTTCTTTGTATATACGCCATTCTGAACATCTAAAAGACTTTTGACATTTGCCAAGAATTACGTTTAGAAGCTGCCATATAACCATACTCTTGACAATATTGTTTATACGAATCGTACAATGACCTTTCATCTAATGACACAAAGTCAGTTTCATCTATGAACAGTTCATATACACTCTTGTTTGCTTCTAACAATGTTTGTCTTTCTTCGGTATGTGGAATTTGTCTTGGATTGAACTTAGAAATATCTAATGTCATGAAATATGAGAACAAGTGGTTGTAAAAGTTAGGTCTGTCAAAGTTTCTGCTAAGTCGTCAAAATATTCTGTATCTTGCATATGAGAATCTGACGTTCTGACAACTACATATCTTCTGTCAGAACTTTCTAACTTCATCGGAACAACATTGTTTGAAACCATGATTGAAGTTTGCAACATTTTCACAAACTCTTGGTCTTTATATTTTCTTTCAACAACTCCAACTTTGTCTGTTATAAGACTCTTCAAAGCATCTGAGTTTAAAACCTTTGTTGTATCTATTACTTTGAAGTTCGTTACATACTATAAGTTTCATATTCTCTATTGAAGAGTTAAATTTACCGCAGATGTTTTCTAAGTTTGTTCATATTAGGGTTCGATAGCCTCTAACAGTTTGCACAAAATATCTGTAAAGAAAGTGTTCTTACCAGTTCCTTGTTTTCCAATTATAATGAGAGCAGTTTCATTTTTAGCACTTGGATGTTGTAAGATGTTTGCAAACCAACATAAGATATACTCATAGACTCTTTCGTTTCCATTGCATTATAATTTCTTTGACATGGTCTAACCAAGCTTCTATAACATTTTCTTTCCATTCTACTTGTTCGTATTTATATCCAGTGAAGATAGAAATAGAAGTTTGGGATGGTGTATAGAACTTTATACCTCGAACTGAAAAATCTTCTAACTTTGACAATAAGATATCCCAAGCATCTAACATCTTCATTCCAACTTGTACAACTTTTATTTTCTTAAGTTTCTGTCTACATTTCTTGTTCAGACACTATTGTTGCTCTTGGTTTGTTAAAGACAACATCCCATTCTTTCATGACATAACATTCTGGGGCAGAGTCAACATAAATGACTAAACGTTTCAAATTCTCGACTGCTTTGTTATAGTCTCGAAATGGACAATATTTTCTGAATGCTTGGAAGTCATAAAAATCTGAAACATCTATTCTGTACATTTTTATAAAAATAAAAAAAAATATTTTTTTTATTCTTGACTTTGTTGTTGCATTTTGTTGCATTTGTTGTTCTTGAGCTATTTGTTGTTGAAGTTGTTCTTGTAATACAATACTTTCACCAGTTGCATCTTCCAATTCGAAACTTTCTGCCGTCATTGACAAATACATAGGACATAAAAGTTTTACAGGAACAAAGTTTGCGTCAACTAAGGTTAAGTTTATGTTTGCTAAAGTGTTTGAGTTTACTAAAGCTGAAAACTCTGCATTCGAATGAACAATAGGCAAACCAGCAGAGAAAGTGTTGTTTATACGCATGAGTATCTTTTGGTCATAGTAGTTTCTGTCGACATTCGAATAGCACTTTGAACCTAAGTTTGAAACAATATATAAAATAGGTGTACTTAAAGTCAATGGAACAGACAAACCTTGTATGACACCTTTTCCTGTTATAGGAAACTGTTGGTAGTAAAAACCAGATATAAGTTTTGTATTATAGCTCATATCGTTTATAGTAAACTCAGTCGGACATCCAAACATAATGAAACCTGCTCTAGTTGCAGCACATGTTACATCCGTCCTTAAAGTATTAAATAAGTCAACAAAAACCTGTTGGTGGTATATCTGAGTAAGTATCTTCAAAAGAAGTATTTTTACCATTCACAACAATAAAATCTTCTGGTGTCAAAAGAGCAAAACAGGCTTTAGTCGTCATCGTGTTTAAGGTCAGTTTACAATATCGTCCTTGAGGACTTTGTAAGTTTGTTGTTATAGAATTATATGACTCAGGGTTTTTAGTCGTAATAGTATAAACCACTATGTCTTCTGCCATTTACTTAGCAAGTAAATTTTAATGAAATGTTGTGGTCGTCAAATATTTTTATGACGTCTGGGAAACTATACTTTAAGTTCAACGTTTCACCTCCTTTCATAACGTATATCTTGTCAATGACATTATATGAAACACCACAGCAACTAATGTCGGGTTCTATTTCTTTGATGTTTATATCGTCTGCCTCTGTCAAAAGTTTCAATAGTTCTTTCAAAATTTCATGAGGTGCGATGACATATGAGTTCACTTTTACAGGGTTGTGTTCGACCAAGTTTAACATTATACTTAAAGCTTGACAAATCTTCTCCTGAGTTTGAAGTTTGTCTTTCAGTTGTTGGTAGTCGTTTCGAATATCTGCAACAGAACTTAAGTCTCTGCTAACTTCAGGATATGTTGGTTGTTCTTTTACAGGAACAATTGCTATACCATCTTCGTCTTCGTATGGTTTCCCCACTTCAACATCTCTGTCTTTGACATTGACAACAACACTTTGACTGTTTGTTTGAGTTGGTGAATTTAACTTCACATCTGCCACCGCCATTAAACCTTTTGAAACACTTACGCTTCTATTTTTCGGAAATGACATTTTACTTAGAATAAAAAGATGGACGTATTTGAGTATCTCTTCGAATTGAAGCAAAACAAAGTTTACACACACAAACAATACAAGTTCATTGAC